TTTGCTAGTATTTCTATATCATGTAGCTGGTTAATGGAAAGTTCATTGTATGTCTTGCTCACTTCTCCTTCTATTTCATCCCCGCTGCTGTCCTCATCCTCTAGAATCCCTACAGTGTAGAAGCAGGACATTTGGCCCAACAAGTCCACACTCACCTTCCAAAGAGCATCCCACCCAGACTGAGCCCTTCACCCTATCCCTATAACCCCATATTAACCATAGCTAATCCAGCTAGCCTGCACACTACAGGTAATTTAGCACAGCCAATCCACCTAATCTTAACATCTTTGGACTGTGGGAGGAAGCTGGAGCACCTGGAGGAAACCTACACTGACACAGGGAGAACATGCAAACTCCACATAGAGAGTTGCCCAAAGCTGGAATCAAACCTGGGTCCCTGGTGCTGTGAGGCAGCAGTGCTAACCACTGAGTCGTCATGTCACCCAAGGCCAGTAGCAATGGGGCAGACTGTTACCCGTTTGTCCCCTTCTCGATGTGGGATTTTCTCGTTGTGCTGAACTGATGCAAGCCGTTTAATGACATTGTGGAATTTTTGACTATGCGCCTCTAGGACTAATTGGTACACACTTAAACCAACATTTTTAATGCCTTGAATCAGTGACAATCCCTCAGGTGAGAGGGTGTCAACCCCATGTGCATTGCCTGAAAGCATGCCCTGCTGTAATAAGGATCAATTTAGATTAAAAAGAACAAAGAACTGCTGTTGCTGGAAATCTGAAACTAAAACAGAAAGTTCTAGAGGAATTCAACACGTCTGGCAGCATTTGTGGAGAGAAAAGCAGAGGTAATGTTTCAAGTCAAAAGGGTCACTGGATCCTGACAGCATTCCAGCAACAATACTAAAGACATGTGCACTAGAACTGCCACATGGCAAGTTGGCTCCAAAATTGGCTTAGTGACAGGAGACAGAGGGTGATGGTAAAGGCTATTTGTGTGACTGGAGCCCAGTCTGTACATGTGTACCGCAGGGATCAGTGCTGGACCCGTTATTGCTCGTGATATTCATAAATGATGTGGATGAGAATGTGAAGAGGATGATAAGTAAGCTTGCAGGTGATGCAAAGATTGGCCAGGTGGTTGACAGTGAGGAGGAAGATATTAGATTACAGAAGGATATAAACAGATTGGTCAGATGGACAGATCAGTGGCAGATGGAATTTAACCCTAATAAATGTGATGCATATTGGAAGAAGGAACAAAACAAAGGAGTACTCAATGAATGGCAGGAATCTAAGAAGCTCAGAGGAACAGAGGAATCGGGGGGGTGCTCTGAAGGTGGCAGGACAGGTTAATAGGGTAGTTAAGAAGGCATACAGGATGCTTGCCTTTATCAGAGTTGAGATTATAAGAGCAGAAAAGGGCTGCAGTACTGTGTGCAGTTGTAGTCACCACACTATAGGAAGAATGTGATTGTACTGGAGAAGGTGCAAAGGAGATTTATCAGGATGATGCCTGGGATGGAGCAACTTAGCTACGAAGAGAGGCTGGATAAGCTCATGTTATTTTCTTTGGAGCAGAGGAGCTTGAGGAGGGAACCTGATAGAGGTGTATAAGATTATGAGAGCCTTGGACAGGGTGAATAGAAAGCAGCTGTTCCCTTTTACTTGAAGGGTCAATAGTGAGGGGGCGTAATTTTAAAGCAAAAGGCAAGAGGTTAAGAGGGTATTTGAAGAAAAACCTTTTCACCCACAGGGTAGTGGGGTTCTGAAACACACTGCCTGGGAGGGTAGTTGAGGTGGAAACCCTCATAACCTTTAAAAAGTATTTGGATGAGCATTTGAAGTATCACAACTTTCAAGGCAGTGGGACTAGTGTAAATAGTTGTATATTTTTGCTGGTATAAACTCATTGGGCCAAAGGGCCTCTTCTGTACTGTCTGTTTCTATGATTCCACCCCTATCCAAGTTGTTCCAGTTTTAGCTAAAGCACAGGCATCTACCCTGCAATATGGAAAATTGTCCTGTACACAAAAAGCAGGATAAATCCAACCTGCCAATTACCATCCTTTAGTCTATTCTCCATCATCAGCAAAAGAGTAGAGGGAATCATTAACAGTACTATCAACCAGCACTAACTTAGCAATAACCTGCTGACCAATGCTCTGTTTGGGTTCTGTCAGGGTCATTCAACTCCAGGCCTCACTACAGCCTTGGTTGAAACATAAAACAGCTGAACTCCAGAAATGAAGTGTAAGTGTCTGCCCTTGACAACAAAGCAGCATTTGAATATGTTTGGCACCAACGAGCTCTCGGAAAACTGAACCGAATGAGAATCGGGGAAAGGCTGTACGCTGGTTGAAGTCAGATGTAGCACAAAGAAAGGTGGTTGTGGTTTTTTTAGAGGTCAGTTATCTCAGCCTTTGGACACGACTGCAGGAGCTCCAAAGGTTATGTCCTCAACCCTAATATTTTCAGTTGCTTCGTCAGTTATCTTTCCTCTATCTCCAAGCCAGAAGGAAGGATGTTCGCTGATGATTGCACAATGGTTAGCAGCCCAGATACTGAAGCAGTCCATGTCCAAATACAGCCAAGACCTGGACAACATCCAGGCTTGAAGTGACAAGTGGCAAGTTGTGCCACACAAGTGGGGAGCAATGGCTAAATTCACAAAATTAACAAAGTTAATCTGACCGTTGCCCGTTGACATTAAATACATAACCATCACTGAATCCCCGACAATCAGCATCCTGAAGGTTATCGGAAACTGTACAGGAACACCCTTTTAAATATTGTGGCTACAAAAGCAGGTCAGTGGCCAAGAATCCTGCTGTGAGTAACATGTCTCCTGACTCCCCAAACCTTGCCCACATCCACAAGGGTCAAGTAAGGACTATGATGGAATACAACCTATTGTCTGGATGAGTGAGGCTCCTACAACAGTCAAGAAGCTTGACATCATCCATAGTAAAGTAAACGGTTTGACTGGCAGCACATCCACAAACATTCACTTCCTTCATCCCTGAAGCACAGTGGCAGCAGCGTGTACCATGTCCAAGATGCACTGGAGGAACTGACAAGGGCTCCTCCAAATGCATCCTCCAAACCTGCATCCCTATTACTTACAAGGCCTGGAACAACAAATGCATGGGAATGTCACCAACTACAAGGTCCCCTCCAAATTACACAGACCTGATTTGGAAAAGTGTCGCTTTTCCTTCACAAAAGCTAGGTCCAAATCCTGGAACTCTCTTTCTAACAGCACAGTGGTTAAGAACTGCAGAGATTAAAGAAAGCAGCTCACCACTATCTTCTCCAGGGCAATGAGGGATGGGCAATAAATGTTAGTCTAGCCAGTGACAGTTGCATTTCATGAACGATTACAAATAAAAGTCTGAATAAGGATGGCAGATTGCCTTCCCTGAAGGGCGTTAATGAACCAATTGGGTTTTTACTGTAGAACATTAGTTTCATGATCTTCATTGCTCATCTTTGCATTTTATTCCAAGTTTGTTTAAGGAATTAATTGAATTTAAATTCCCTAGCTGCTATGATGGGATTTAATTTCTCCACATCATTATTCCTTGCCTTTGCATTACTAGCCCAGTTACAAAACCACTATGTTATCTAAATTCTGCCCTCATCTTGACAGGTTGTCCTCATAATTTAACCCTCTAAACCTCAAAATCATTCTCATGGTCTGCACTGTATCCTGTATCATTGCTCAGACCTTTGAGTTTAAGAGTTAAGACATCACGTTGAGGTTGTACAGGATGTTGGTGAGGCCTCTTCTGGATGCTCTGTTATAGGAAGGATATTATTAACCTGGAGAGGGCTCAAAAAAGATTTATCAGGATGTTGCTGAGAATGGAAAGGCTGGGATGTTTTCCCTTGAAGCATAGGAGGTTGAGGGATGAACTTATTGAGGTTTATAAAATCAAGAGGTGTATAGACAAGGGTCTTCTCCCTAGGGTGGGGGAGTTCAAAACCAGGGGACATATTTTAAAGGTGAGAGGAGAAAAGTTTAAGAAGGACATGAGAGGCAACTATTTTACACAGAGAAAGTGGTAGATGCAGGTACAGTTATAACAATTAAAAGACATTTGGATACGTTCCTGAATAGGAAAGGTTTGGAGGGATATGGGACAAGCGCACGCTGGTGGGACTAGTTTAGTTTGGGAATATGGTCATCATGGACTGGTTGGACTGAAGAATCTGTTTGCATGCTGTATGACTCTATGACTCTACAAAGTCAACATATTCTTCTCAAGCTGTGATGTCCAAAACAGATTACAATACTCCAGATGGGGTCTCAGTGAGAGTCTGCACAATTCCAAAGAGTGACAAGTACTGGAAGAAATTGGCAGACCAAAAATATGACCCAGTCTTGTAAAACAAATACTGCCATTTTCAAATTCCTGGTTATGTACTCATATGCCAATTAAAAACACGAGTAGGCCCTTCAGCCCCTCAAGCCTGCTCCACCATTCAATAAGATCGGGGCTGATCTGGTTATCCCATATTGCCACCTTCACCCCTTGTGGGGCAATCCAGAATGAGAGGTCATAGTTTGAGGCTAACGGGTGGCAGATTTAAAACAGGAATGAGGAGGAATTATTTCTCTCAAAGGGTCATGAATCTCTAGAAAACGCCATTCTAGAGTGCAGACACTGAATAAATTCAAGGAGATAGACAGAATTTTAATTAGTTATAGGTTAAAGGGTTATGGAGAGTGGGCAGGAAAGTGGGGTTGAGGCAACGATGAGATCAGCCATGATCTTATTGAATGGAAGAGGGACTGCATTGCCCACTCCTGCTCCCATTTCTTATGTTCTCTCCCCCCCCATAACCTTTTACTCCTTCGCTTGTTATAAATCTATCTACCTCAGCTTTTAAAATATTCAATGACTGCTTTCATTACATTTTGAGGGAGTGTGTTTCAAAGACTCACATCTGCCTGTGCCAAAAATCTCCATCTTAAATGGGCAGCTGCTTATTTTTAGACAGCAAGGACCCACTAGTAATGCTCTGGAATTATTCTAGTGCCACAGGTCGAGAGGTGTTCGATTGGATCCTGGACCAAGGTTACTATTCTGAGAGAGATACCAGCAATGTGATCAGACAAGTATTGGAGGCTGTGGCGTACCTGCATTCCCTCAAAATTGTGCACAGAAATCTTAAGGTAAAAGATGTTTAAACTGACAGTTGCCTCACACAATACAAAATTGCTTTCAAGAAAAATTTAGCTGTGTTCACCAGACACAGGGAAATATTAGCCAAAAGAGAACGCTCTGTTCTGTTACTCTAATGCACTTTAGAATCATAGAATTCCCTAGAGTATGGAAGCAGGCCATTCAGCCCACTGAACCCACACTGACCCTATCCCCGCAACCCTGCATTTCCTGTGGCTAACCCACCTAGCCTGCATGTCCCTGGACGCAATGGGCAATTTAGCATGACCAATCCACCTAACCTAACATCTTTGGACTGTGAGAGGAAACTGCAGCACCTGGGGGAAACCCATGCAGACATGGGGAGAATGTGCAAACTCCGCACAGACAGTCAACCGAGGGGGGAGTCAAACCTGGGCCCTTGTTATGTGAGACAGCAGTGCTTACCACTGAGCCACCATGCCACCCTACTTTGTATGGTATGATCTGCCATTACTGCATGCAGAACAAAACTTTTCACTGTAACTTGGTACATAAGATAATAATAAATCAATAAAATAATTTGTACCTTCAAAAGAAATGTCCACATGAGCATCTCTTTAAGGAGGGAGTCAACACCAGTATATCCCTTTAAGTCCACTGTTACCATCAATTCTATTTGTAGATTTTATTTAAAATGTTTTTATTTTAATAATAGGTGACGATGGAACAGTTATCAATCCTGCAGTTACTTGGAGGTTTGATGCCATCGGCGACAATGTTCAAACACAAAATACTAGCAAAATGTAGATTTTTCAGCCATTTTCTCCTTTGTTTCTTTTTTAACCATCAGCTGCTTAGATCTCTTCCCAGCCAATCTGCCAATGACGTCACCAGCACTCATGATTTAAACAAAAGCGTTCAAAATACACCCCTGTTCAACAAACAGGCGCTCCATATGGCTGCACAACAAGCTCTGTGACTAGCTCTTTAATTCTCTTTCTGATGCATAAACAGGAGCTCCATATGTTTCACACAGAGATAGTCACTGGTGCCTTAACCTTTGCCTTGCTGCACAAGAAGCATTGTGGAGATCCAGACGTTGGAGCAGGGAATTGCACAGCATGTCCCATTTGTTAGATCTCTGAACTTGCAACATATTTGCTGCAGTCTATCAATGAGATTTAATAATAGAGAAATCATCAGAGGAATGATGGAGAGGGAAATACGAGGATTTAGAGTCAAATTAGGTATAAACAGAAATAAATAGAGGATAAATGATTTGGTAAAAACAGAGAGGGACAAAAAAGACAAAGGATTATTTTTTGAAAGACTTTGCTCTACAACATTAAAAGAAAAATGTTCTATCTGCAGGAGTGTGATACCATGGTTTCAGTTGATGCTTTTCTGAGCTGAAGAGTTTTTGAATGTTATTTTAAGAAACTTGTCCCTAAAAGAGTCCTTCCCACATTAAGTACCAACCCTAATTTTCTGCAGTGAGCTTGATTTCTTTTAGAATTTCTACAGTGCGGAAGCAGGCCATTCAGCCCATTGAGTCCACACTGACCCTCTGAAAAGCATCCAACCCAGACTCTATACCTGTAACCCTACATTTCCCATGGCTAGTCCACCTAACCTGCACATCCCTGGACACCGTGGGCAATTTAGCATGGCCAGTCCAAAGCGCGAATGCAACAAAGTAATGATACTCAAATTAAAAGCAGATGCGGGTTGCTTTGGGCTCAGGGAATGCCAGGAGCTTGTTTCTGTCCAGGATATTCATGGGATGGAGTACAGCAAGTAGTGAGGTGAGTGGCATGGATCATCCAGCAGTTTCTGGCAATTCACAACTCCCACTCTATCATTTTTTCACCTCACTTTGCCAGTTAGTTAATGCATTAGTAATGAGCCTTTAGCTCAGTGTCATTTTCCCAGCAAGTTCAGGGCCATCGTAATTGCTACCTCTAGGGTTTGGACTCAAATCGATTTCTTGTATTTCTGTGCTTCTGACTTTAACTTGGCAATCCGGCATTTTGCCATGGGCTGTCAGCTCTTGCTGAAGGGAAGCTGCTAATATGTGTGACAATCTGCAAATGCTAATAATAACTGTGTTCTTTCTCTCTGTCAATTCTTAATCTGTGTTTCTCTTTTGACTGTTTCACTGTCAGCTGGAAAACTTAGTTTACTTCAATCGTCTAAAAAACTCCAAGATTGTCATAAGCGATTTTCATCTGGCTAAATTGGAGAATGGACTGATTAAAGAGCCTTGTGGAACACCAGAGTATCTTGGTAAGACCACATGGATGCAAGCATGAAAAATCTCCAATGACATTTTGCATAAAACACCCAATAATTTCATAATGCATTTTCTAAAACGGAAGCATAGATTCATTTTCGAAAGCGATCACTGTCCAAATTGGCCAACCTAGATTTACAGAGACCAACACAAACTGAGCCATGTATTGACAAAAGAAAACATGGATTACATTTGTCTCTGATACTCACAGAAAATAGACAAAAATAAATTGTTTTACACCCAGCACAATATATTTTTCCACCGACCTTAGATGCATGTGTAAGAGGCTGCAAATCCCCTACAGATCACCCACATGGAGGTGCATTCTGACTCTGTGGATTTTGTGTATTTTTTTAAATGAATATATTGAGAGTTTATTGCTGGATTAGAGAGAGATGGGATTGTAATGGTAATGTCAGTGAACAAGTAATCAAGAATTTCAAGCTAATGTTCTGGGAATATGAGTTCAAATCCGACCATAGCTGATAGTGAAATTTGAATTCAGTAAAAATCTGGGATTAAAATATTAGTCCAGTGGTGAACACGTCACCGTTGTCATTAAAATAAAACATCTTTAGGGAAAGAACTCTGCCATCCTTACACAGTCTGGGTGACATGTGACTCCAGACCAACTAAAAGGTAGTTGCTTCTTAAGTACTGTGTGGACAATTTATACTGGTCTAGCCAATTATGCCTACAAATCATAAATGACTCAAAAAGAAGTAAATCCGAGTCTTTATGTTATTACCTTAAAATCTTTTCTTCATGACTTGGATCAAAATGCTACAGCAGGTTATACAAATTCACATCCTTAGCAAAGGGCTTCATGTATTGAAGGTTTATATCTGGAATTCACTTCTTGTGGCTAACAGGCTCCATCTGGTTTTCCCATCAACTTAAGTTACTCTTTGACTCATAGAATTGTAC